CTAATTTAGTTTTATTTAAAAAGATCCTCCAAACTTTCTTATTTTTTTAAGCTTTAAAAAAAAATGTAACGGACGGACCTACAAATCAGGAAACATAATGGAATTAAATATCTGTATTATATATAATCCATATAAAATACATTTGATTTATATCTATCTCTTTGAATTACTTGAATTATATTCTATTGTTCGCAATTTTCTTATTTTAGGACTTCGAAATTTTACCGAAAGGAGACATGACTATGATTGGTGAGCGTGGTGTTACCTTGAGTGGTGGACAGCAAGCAAGGGTCAACCTAGCGAGGGCGCTATATAAAGATGCTGACATTTATGTTTTAGATGACCCACTGAGTGCAGTCGACACCAAAGTTGGAAAACAAATATTTGAAAAGTGAGTAGAAAGAAATTAGATTGTATATTTAATATCAATATTTTTTTTCATTTTTGTGTTTGAAGATTACCGTAAGTATCATTTAAGGCTTAACGTTTTTGCATTAATAATCCTAAAATGTAAAGTCTAAAGACAATCATTTTACTTCAAAAATTAAAAAAATCTAACCAAAAATGAAATAAAACGATCGATTCTCAACGCTCTGGACCTTTTGCAAACACGGCGAATCAAGGACTTTTACAGCGACAGATTTTTGTGGGTGAATTTTCACAGGCCTACTCAATATAGATCATGAATGCTTTGTGGTGATTGAAGGCTTAATTATCTTCTAGCGTGCCTGGTGTTGAATTTGGAATAGCAATATTGTACATGAACAGTGATAAGTTGAATTTCATGATGATGTCGTCATGTGTTATGTCAATAAATATTTAAAGTTTTAAATTTACAGATGCATCATGGAATACCTTCATAAAAAGCCTCGAATTCTAATCACTCACCAGTTGCAGTATTTACACGACGCTGATAGGATTTTGCTTTTAAAAAATGTAAGTTTTAAAACATATTTAAATTCCTAAAAATTAAATAACTTCATTCAAACATGAATTAACTTTTAGTGAAAATTTCTATTTTAGGGTAAAATTGAAAGAATAGGAACATACGACGATGTAAAAAATTCCGATGATTTCATAGCATCTGTCACAAGTGACGAAGAAGACGAAAAAATGAAACGGCAAAGCGACTCGGTAAGGCGACAGAATTCACTGCGTTATTTATATTATATAGGCCAATATAATATAAGTATTATATATGTATATGTATACATATAATAAATATATATATATATATACATATATAATACATATACATATACATACAGATACAGATTTCGGCGGAT